TTTGTTTTTTTGTGAAAAGTTCATTTTTTGGCCAATGAAGCGTTTAGCAATTATTTAAAATGTATCTGATCACTCTACACAATAATTTAGAAATGTGAATGAGAATGTGAATGAACACCACAACAGCTTAAGCAGCAAACTTTGCAAAACACAAAATTTATGTCACTGCCAAAACTTTTTGCCATGACTGTACACTCGAAATGACAGCGAATTGTGGCGATGCGTTACTCTCACCTGACCGCAGAGGGCGCCAGCGCGATGGAAATAATCCACCAGACTGTTATACATCTAACCTGAAATTTGTAAGAAAAACCTGTAAGGGAACAACTTCAGATGCCTCGAGATCCTGAAACAAACCTTGACCCAGTGCCTTACACATTCGAGAAGCCGTGAATGATTCATGAGCTTCAGTGTTGGTTTTGACCCTCAAGCCTCAACGTAAATTTTTCAGTAGGAGAGCTGGGTTGAGAGTTTAAGCAGCTAAACTCAGTCTGGTGTCTGTCTGAGCCGTCAATGAGGACTAGGTGTAGATACTTCAACATTTGCCAGAAATTATTTATGCAATAGCTTTTATAAAGCTCTGCTCCTGATTGAGTTGACATGGTTTGCATACTGAGAGGAATCAGTGTTTGGATTATGATTATTATGAGGCAAGTGTTCATGCATCCTTTACTATGCATCAGTTACTTCAATGTGAGCAAGTTGCTCCACTTTTCAACCTATGTGCGGTTGAGAAGAATTCAGGTGCCTCCCTGCCCTTAGGGTCCTCTGAACAAAGACAGCCTTCATATTTTAGCCAGTAAAAAAGTGTGTGCTAGGTCACGGGCCAGGGTTGTGTTACCTGCTGTATCCCAGCAATGCACCCCTTTGATCACTGTCATGATCAAAAAAGTAAGCAGAACTTGAGCAGAACACAGATATATAAAGGTGAATGTTTGTGAAGACAAACAAATCAGATGAATGAGACATTTTTCATTTACATATTTATTAAAGTATACAATAACAATTCGTTTTTTCTCTTAAGCTTTAGAGATGGAAAGAAATAATAAAGATGATATACTTATACAATAAAGAAATCTAACAATGTCAAGCACAACAATCACCACTAAGCCACAGCATCACTGAATGTGAAAGTTGAACACGAGCACAATTAATGCACATTACTTAAAATATATCCAACAATTTGTTGTGAAAATGAGATCTGATTTTTTTTTTCTTCCTCTCGAAGAAAACACTTATCGTTTGCTTAGATGGACAATAAATCATTTCCTGAATAATTTCAGTACCTTCAATTTTGTCTTTGCTGGATGACATCAAGAGGTTTTTAAATACATTTCAAGGAATCCTAGTCAACACAATAACACTCTGACTTTATCAAAGTAAAGTCTTAGAGCATCTAAATCACCAGTAGTAATTATGAACATTTATGCACAAAGATGTCACACATCTTTTCTACTGACTGTGAAGTATATGATGCACCTACATGCTACTTTCCTCCACGATTCCTTTACAACACATTGGGAGATCAAGAGCTGGCTTCTCATTGCAAGCAGGTCACACTGACCTTGCGGCTAACTGAAAGTACTGTACATGATCTGGCTTTAGCAAAGCCTATTTTGACATTTCCCTTCTTCAAGCCCTTCTCCATATCCTACGAGCATCTGACGTATAAAAATACAGGGCTAACCTTACAAAAACCTGCCAGCAGTACAGCCCCACCTTTCAAACAGGTAGAAACACAGAGGTAGGCATGCATAATCAATTTATTAGACATATTTACAAGTTCGGCTGAGAAAGATCACAACTCTGAGTGGTCAAACACTGGACAACCCACTTACTCAACAATACGCATGAACACCTGTGTAGAAGTCTCCAATATACTATTTACAAACTCTGTTATGAAAGTTGATGTGAAGGCACACTCACTCAGTTTCATTTCTGGAGGACGTGAAGACCCGCAAGTATGTGTACATACAGTATGCACCACCGATACTGTGAGATATGAAATGCCCAGTTTTCAAAAGAGAAACTTGTTCTCCAAAGCAGAGCTCCTCACCCACTCAATAAAGACACTGAGCGAATAACAATGAAACCGCAACACAATACATGGAGTTATAAGAGCAACGAATCCTATAAAACTCAATAATTCGCATTCATTCACACAGAACAGACGGCCGGTTCACTGCAGACAAAGCTGAAATCAACACTAGACCAGATATTACAAAACACTCACTGGCACAGTTATAACATCCTCACATGCATAGATTGATGAGAGATGAAAAACACTACAACTGGAAAACTACTGTAGAAAGAGTATTAGGCTCTCAGCATCTGTGCAATGACAAAATCCCCTATTATTTCAACAAACATAACAGAGATATTGTGAAGCATAGAGAACACTTTCACAAGTGTTACATAAACTGTTATGTTTCTAAGTTTCTTATATAGAATTCTGTGTAGTGAATTTTAAAAAGGTGAATTGCTAATGTATGTGCTATAAAGCACATTTCACTGGCTAGGGCAAAACAGGATATGGAAATTCAATGTTCGGGGGAAACTTGAAACGAAAACTTCATATTTTCACTTTACAAAAAAAAAATGTCATGTCTCTATAAAATTATCAAGCCTCTTATATACCTGTTATAGTAAACATGTACCTAACACAGCATCATAAAAGACACGACATAGGAGAGATCTTACATATACATGCTATATAACAACATATAAATGGCAATATTTTATATCAATAATGGCATTAAAAATGGCTAACAACAACATAAAAAAAACGAATATATACATATACTGTAATACACTCCTCCAACATGAGACACGTGTGAAAGTGCTACCGAGTCTGTGGAACCCAATTGGCAGGTGGGTATGAAGGTCTTCAGCCTTTGACTGCTGAAGGAACTTTTTCCCCCCAGATCTTGTGGTTTGTATATGTTGTGTTTGTGTAGGGAGTGTTTTTCCTATGACACACTAGAGCAGCGGATGGAGGGGGAGCCCATCTGAGTGAGCACTTTGTCCAGCCACTGAAGAGGACCGTTCAGGTGCAGTTCTATCCAGCAGGGGGTGCTAGTCACTGTCTGCCGCCTGACAGCATTAAAAAGGAGAGAGAAATAAAGAGAGGTAAGATAGCAAGGAGATTAAACAAACGCACAGTATTCAGACACTTAAGCAACACTTTAATATATGAATTTAACTGCATCAGATCAGTGTTTCTAATATTTTTCTCAGGAGATCCCTCATGCATATGCACTTCATATCGCATTTCTTTAGCAATGAGCAATTTTAGTGATTGGCACATGAATATCATTGCACATTTTAATTATCTGTTGCATGCCTTTGCTTTAATCACAAATACATTGAGACAATGGAGAAATTTTTTTTTGGAGCATGTTCTTGCATTTAAAACAGCTTGATGGAGAACAATGGAATGAAGCAGAACCAGGGGTCTCAAAACATGTTCTTGAATTGTCTGTGATATAAAATAAAACGTATCAAAACTCTTTTAGAAATATTTTGCTTATCGTTCTTCATAATAAATGCCACTTGGTTAGATATTTTATTATTATCTAATGCAATGAAATTGCAACATTAAGTGTGGTTTAAAGGGATAGTTCACCCAAAAATTTTAATTATGTGGTCATTTTCTTACCCTAATGTTGTTAAAAACCTGTATGATTTACTTTCTTCAGTTGAACATAAAATAAGATATTTTGAGAGATGTCTCAAAATGTATTTTCTCCATACAATACAAGTCAGTGGTCACCAAAACGTCTTACTTTTGTGTACCACAAAAGAAGAAGAAAAAATCTTTCAGGTTTGGAACAACATAGGGGTGAGTAGAAAACAAAATTTTCAATTTGGGGTGAACTCTCTCTTTAAGTTTCCACTACGTGATCATAAAAAATATATATATTTTAAAGGTGCAATAGGTGATTGTCTTCAGAAACATTTTTTGTTATGCTGGTTGAAAGTCTCTTCACATCCCGATAGCAATCACAAAGTTAAGTGGTCTAAATGTATTTATCTGTATTTATATATTCTGTCTGTGGCGTAGGACCAAGAAATGTTCATCCAATCAAAACGCTCTGTCCGAGTGTTTTAATTGGCTTTCCTAACTTCACTTCGGAACATGGGCTGGAATTGGGAACCGCTGATGTAGCCTATTGTAGTGATGTTGTCTCTGGTATTCTGGTCTGTGAGCGTAAATGCGTTCAGGGGGCGTGGCTTTGGACGGTGTTTGCAGGAGGGTGGGACGTTCGCTTTCAGTGCTATCAGGCTAAAGTTAGCATTTTCCAAGATCTCCTACTGCACCTTTAAGAGTTGTTTCTGGAACTAATAATATATTTGTTTCATGCATAAATTCTTAAATTGTCCACTAACATCCTTTACTGTGAATGACTGGTAGGAGATAGTTCACAGAGTTTGCTGTTTGTCTGGATATGAACTGTGTGTGTAAACTCTGCTCTGGTGTTCTCTGCTCTGGTCCCTCACAGGGACGGTATTCACTGCCAGACACACTTCTTTTACATTCCACAATGCTTCCACAATACTTGTCTAAGCCCCCCTTCGCTTGTGCTCACACACACACACACACACACACACACACACACATGTGAACAGACACAGTCCCGGAACCGCTGTTCATAACACCTTACACTGCTCTACTCCTCAATGGGACTTCCTCTAAACCTTCCACCAACACACACACGTGCGAGTCTCTCCTGAATCTCAGTCCCTCTCCTCCTACACGAGTTACAGTCACATCAGCACTGAGAGAATAATTCAGAAAATAATTATAGACAAATAGATTTTGAATTTCATTACTAAGGCTAAAACAACTAGATCTATAACAATCAATAATGATAACAGCTAGCCAGCAATAAATTTCAATATTGATTTATCTGTGCACAAGTTAGAACCTCTGAGAGTGACGCCATTTTCAAGTAGTGAAAAACACATTTTTATGGGGAAAAAGATTTTTCACATTTTATTGTAATACTCCATTAGATATTTGTAACAGCAAACAAGTATCCTTAAATATCCTACACTACCTTTAAAGGTAAGATTTTATGGTTTTGAAAACAGTCTCTTAGGCTCACTTTAAATATTATTACAGTTTAAAATAACTGTTCTCTATTTTAATATATTTTAAAGTGTAATTTATTCCTGTGATGCAAAGCTGAATTTTCAGCATCATTACTCCAGTCTTCAGCGTCACATGATCCTTCAGAAATCATTCTAAAATACTGATTTGGAGCCCAAGAAACTTATTATTATTATCAGTGTTAAAAACTGCTGTGCTGCTTAACATCTTTATGGAAAACGTGAATAGAAAGTTCAAAAGAACAGCATTTATTTGAAATAGAAATCTTTTGTTACACTATAAATGTTTTTACTGGCACTTCAAAAAAAGAAAAATCCAAACTTTTGAATGGTAGTGTATATGCAGCGCATGTAATGTTTTTTTATACATAAAATTAGAAGTAATGTGATTAAAAAGCCGCAAGTTAAGTGTGAGTTCTTGGAAAACATTCTGCCTCTTAACTTTTTTTTTTTTTTTTTTAATTTTTAGTTTGAATTACTTTGGTTATGTAAACTGTTCTGCTGCTCCCATGTTGTGTTTCGAACCACTTCACAATGTAACCTTTATATTCTAGAGTCTAGACCTTTTCATTACAGCTCTAGATTTTAATCTGCAACAGGGACAGTTTGTCAGCACTTGAAGAGGTGGATCTGAAGGTGGGGAGACTTGGAGGGGCATGAGAGAGGGAGTGGGTGTCTGCTGAAACCCGACAGCTCAGATTGTGTCTCCACACGCCAAACTGTCTGGAAACCACAGTCTCACTCTCTCTCACACCAGCCTTACTCTTTCCTACTTTCTTCTCAAGCTTTCGTTACAGATGTCCCTGGTCAAAACCCACAACTGCTTCTGATTAGGGTCTTGGTTTCTTGGGCTCAAACAATGAAGTTACTCAAAAGAGCAAGAGGGGGAGAAAAACAGAAAGAGAGAGAGACCAGGAAACTCTGAGACATTCTGAAGCACACCATGTGTGGGTTTGTTTGGTGTGGAATGATTTGCCAGCGCAGACCTAACAGTTTATATGACGGACACGCTAAGCTGGTGGACACCAGGTTGTCTTGCTACGTCAGAGCTCTTCACCAGAGCATGCCAGACCAGGAAAAACAGTTTCCACAGCCTGTCAGACCCTGCCTTGACCCCACAGGCCTGTCCATCCTAAAACAGTCTTAAAACGACACTCCCTCCTATTGTTCTATGAAGCAGTAAAATGGTTTGGGCTTCCTTTATTATAAACTTCTATATAATTCAAACTTCTATCATTTCTATTTATATCTGCTGATATTAGAGATTTTTTTACCGTTATCAGTCGATATTAAAAATTAGGGAGGCAAAATATTATTAAAATACTGGCCAATACCAATAATCTGATTATTTTCAGCTAATCATTTTCAGTTAATACATGTGATATAATTAACAGTTATGGATGATATTATAATTCTATACTATTCTATACTATTTTGTCTAAATTAAAAAATAAAAAAACTGAAACCTAAAATCAATCATTTAAATGAACGTTCAATTAAATTTCCAACATCAGCTGATACCAATAAATAAAAAAATAAAAAATCTCTTAATACTGGCTGATGACCGATATGGTGGTAATATATTGTCCAATACTGGATATTTAATTGTGCATGTTTACCTATGCCATCATCTAACACTCACTTAAAAGTTAATCTTAAAATACACATTTATTTTAATAACTTTAATTGGTATTTAGCATCTTTAGTGAATCATTTATTATAAGTATTCGGTAAATGATTCATATTTAACATTTCTATTATGGTTTCTATTTATGGTCTATTTGATTAAAATCAATACATTACCATAAATCTAAATGTAAAAGAAAATAAAAAGTTGTATTGTTTATGTCACTGAGTATTTATAATCCTTTTTCTACAAAAAGCTGATTACGACAATCAAACTCAAAGAATTTAACAGGAAGTGCGGGTGGCTTCTGTGGTTTTGGGTAATACCACTTCAAAAGTGATTCAAAAGTCTTTGAGCGAAGTCAAATCAAGGCTACGTTCCCAGAGTGGCAAGCGAGCTGATAGATATGGCAGGAGTGAAGTGATTGCAGTAATCGTACCTGTACTCGGCTCCCCAGCCCTTCACGAAGCTCATGCGAATGGTGCACATGCGGGTGAGCTGGTACACGGCCTCAAAGCCCTGATTCACAGACTGGGCCAACAGAGCTGCAAACTCCTGGTTATTAAAGATCTTCAGATTACAGCCTGGAAGGACACAAAGCAGTTTGAAACAAAGTTAACACGATCAAAATAAACCAAAACAAACTAAAATGACGAAACTGATTTAGCTGAATGTCATGCAACTATCACGAAGGAAGCTCTGTTTTATCCTGTTTAGTACAGCTATTCAGTAACTCAGTTGGTGAACTCTCTGTTAACAAGGGCGATTTGTTGAGGGTCTCTCGTTTTATCTTACCAGGTGGGATCTTGCAAACAGTGGCGGGGTGCCAGCCGTAACGTTGGTTACAGTTGGGACTCTGAACAAAAATGGCGCTGTCACTTAGACACTCTGCAAACACTTCACCTCCAATGTAGTACAAACGCACACCCCGGCCTGCAAAAACAGAAGGTTGCCACACAAGTAAGTATGAAATGAAATGAAATAAAATATTTATTTTTAAATAATGTTGTCTAATGAATGAGTGATTTAGAACGATGGTGTGTATACCAATGTGTCTGCGCGTGAGCTCCACAGCAGCGTTGCGATTCACGTTGGACAGCAGGCCCAGGCAGAAGCGTTCAGAGTTGGACGGGTCTGTGAAGCCGTCTACTGTTAAAGAGGGCTGGGAGGCATGGAAAGTTTCACCGACTCTCTGGTTCAGCTCATAGTAGGAGATAGAGCACCAGAACGCTGGTTCACAGTATGTCACCGGCTGTAGATCTGATAGAGAGAGAGAAAAAAAAGAACAATAAAAGGAGAGAATCCGCAAGGCACAGACATGCACAAAAATAGGCAGTGGAAAAGAAATAGAAAGAAAAAGGAAAAAAGACAGGAAAAAGAAAAACAAATGGGTGGGGATACCCGAAGAGACAGAGCACGGGGGTTGGGAACTGACGACACTGTGATGTCAAGAGCAAATGTCACTTCCCAGAAATAAAGGCTGAATCGGGAAATACCATCATCACTTGGACGCAAAACTATAGAAAATTACAGGCTTTTGGCACTGGCCTTTCTCTCCGACACATACGCACTCACCACTGCTGTGGAGAAGATGTCAGCGGTGTCTGCAAAAGCACGATCTGATACAAAAGGAATTGTGGGCACTCCCTTGCTAAGATGGTAACTGGAAGAATGTTTAGTGTGGGTGGTTTTCATCCAAGTTGTTTTGGGAACATACAAATAATCCTTTCAGCAATCCATTTCCTCTGAGAGACTAAAAACACGTTTCTACAAACACTCAGTTTGTGAAACTATTCATAATGTGTATTTTTCATTACACACGGCTATATCAGTACAGTACAATCAGTCAGTCTGTGCACTGATTTAGGTCCAACAAGCTCTTAAATACACATAACGCAGTAAAAGTTCTTGGCTCATTTGAAGTTGGACTTAAGGAAAATTATGACTACAATAAGCGAATAAGAACTACTTTTTTGACACAGTCAGAGAGTGAGTCGTTACACTGATTCAAACCATTAACTCAGTTCAAGACCAATTGTTTTGACCAATTCATTAAAAAGAACTAACTCATACGAGTCATTAATTCACGAGTCATTCTACACCGTCTGAGCTGTATGTTTGTGTGTTTTCACAAGATATGTAGTTTATTATTTATCTTTGCACTAGTTTGCGGTGGCCAGTCTTTTACTCTCATCACATTCAATTCAGATTGCAAGCGCAACTCAGTTAGCATCTTTTTTTTTCCGTAGCTCTGTAGATTCAGCAGCAGTGCAGCTCTGTTGTATAGTAGTTTATGAAACATTAGGTATTTTAGTACAGGGTTCTGTCGCATCAGCATCTGAATCATGGAGAAGAACCATTAACATAACCGAATGTCAGGAAGACTCTGAAAAAGTCCCACAAACGGTGGCTCCCAGCAGCATTTGGACATTAAATGCAAAAATCTGTGTGCGTTCACACCAGTGTTGCCAGATTGGAAATGTCCAAGTATCGTACCAGAAGCTCAAAATTATCGTATTTGGAAGAAAATTATCGTACATGAGTCAAACGTACAGAATACAGCTCTTTATCTAGACCAACAACATTTTGAAACAACCTGCAAATTACCACAATAGATAAAAAAACTAGATAAATAACTCCACCTGTGAGTCTCTGTCATCGGAAGCCTGCGTGTTGCCAGATGTTGAGGGGGTTCTTGCCGTCATGGACCGCAAGATAGTGCTTGTTGGCTTAAAAGCAGGGCACCCTCCTGAATTCTTAACACACTCTGATATGTGCACGAGCGCATTTATAGTGTCTGTAATGAGCCGATTTCGTGGATGAGTATAGAAACCCTATGATTACAACTACCATAATTTGAAGAGTCACAAAATTCTGAAATTATCGTACATTATGGGATTTTTTAAATTATT